CCCCCCCCCCCCCCCCCAGGTTGGAGGGCTTCTGCCTGCTTGTCTGACACATTGGTTACCGCTGCTCCTGCCGAGAGATGGAAGTCACTAGATCTCTCCAGTCCCACAGCAGGTTTTTTTGTTATTTCCAGTTAAATCCTCAGTTTTCCAGTGAGTCACCAGCAGCTTGTTAACTCTGAGTATTTCAGAAGTGCTGGCAGGCGAAGCGTGTCCTGGTGCCCATGCGCCTGGGAAGCGTCAAAACCATCGACGTCACCGGGACCGCGGACAACAGCGGTTTTAGTGGTTTTTTTGTTGGTGTTGCTATTTGTTTTTGTTTTTTGTTTGTGATCCCCTCCATTCCTTTCCCTACTTGTTTGCATGTCCAGGCCAGACTCTGGAGAGGGAAAGTCTTTGCCGTCAGAAGGTGGCGGACTTTTGCATCGCGCCGTGTGTTTTATGGATTTGAGGAACTTGATGAACGTAAGTAAGTCCGATCCCACTGTCCCTTCGCAGAGTGTGTCTGCAACTCCCTGGGCACCGTGCGGGACCACTGCAACGGCTCCGACTGCCAGTGCGACAAAACCACCGGCCAGTGCTCGTGTCTTCCTAACGTGGTCGGGCAGAACTGTGACCGCTGTGCGCCCAACACTTGGCAGCTGGCCAGCGGGACCGGGTGTGACCCGTGCAACTGCGATCCCGCCCATTCCTTCGGGCCATCTTGCAATGAGGTGAGGCGCTGTGGCGGGGCGAGGCTGTCCTGGCAGAGGGACGGGGCTCTCACCTGTATAAGTCCAGCCCCCTTGGTGGCTTGGCCCCAGTTAGCGAGGGGCACCCCCCTCTCCTGGTCGCAGCCTTGCGTCAGAGCATGCGGCTTGGCAGGCACAGGGTAGACTCGATATCAGCCTTCCCTTGGCGGCTCACCGGGGACAGCCCGTCACGTGCGGTGCAGGCCCCGCTGCGCCGTGCACCCCAGCAGGGCAGACGGGGGGGCGCTGTTTCTCCTGCAGACCAGGCTGCCACGTCGGATGTGTGTCTCAGCCACCCAGCCCGAGCGGGCACGTGGCCGTTTCCGGCGCTCTAAGGGGGCCGCTGTTCCCTGACACGCACCCCGGGGCTTCCCAGTCCGCGTGACAGAAGAGCAGGGAGGAGGCGCTGGTGGGGGGCCCTGAGCGCCCCCAGGAGGGAGGGGACGTTGGCCTCCCCCGTCAGGAGGCAGGGCCCTGCCCAGGCTGCAGTGCAGTCCCTCCAGCAGCTGAAGACGACGACGCGGCTGCCTCCCGCCCGGCAGCCCGTGTGACCGGCGTGTTTTCTGCTCGCAGTTCACGGGGCAGTGCCAGTGCAGGCCCTGGTTCGGAGGCCGCGCCTGCAGCCAGTGCCGGGAGCTGTTCTGGGGAAGCCCCAGCCTGGAGTGCCGAGGTGAGGCCGCGCGCGCCCGCTTGCCGTGGGATCGGAGCGGAGGGAGCAGACGGGTGTCCGCCCGAGCCTCCCGGCAGCTCGAAAGTGCGACACCGGCGCGCTGATTTCTGTGCTTCCTTACAAAAGAAAGTCACGCTCGTTGTTGAAGAGACCGCTGGGGCGCCTGGGTGGCTCGGTGGGTCGAACGTCTGACTCCGGCTCAGGCCCTGATCTCGAGGCTTGTGAGTTCGAGCCCCGTATCGGGCTCGCTGCTGTCAGCCTGTCAGCACAGAGCCCGCTTTAGACCCTCCGTCCCCCTCTCTCCCAAGACATAAACAAATACTTGAAAAAATAAGAATACAAATAAAAAACCGTCTAGATGTAGCCCTTTTGGGAGTGTAGGTGGTAAGAGTGAGTCTGCCTACCTCCCGCTCCATCCCCCGGGGGTAGCCTTTGTCTCTGCACAGAAGCGTGTGTCCACCTTGTGAAGACACACAGAACGGCTGTTGTAGATGCTTTTAACCCAAATAGGCTTATATTCACCATATATTTCTGCAGACTGACCCCCCCCCCCCCCCCATCTGACTGGTACCCTGTGGCCGGCTTCCCTGTCCGCATACGCAGAGTTAAGTGGCTGCTCCGCTAAGCTCGTTTGACTCCAGGGTGTCAAGCACACTCTGCTGACAGTGAAAGCCCTGGGCGCACACGCGCCAGGGTGCCGTCCCCGCCGGTGGGAGGCGGAGGGCGGTACCCTCCTGCATCACGCGCCCCCAAGGGATAGGTGACCGGCGCTCTAGGTCCGTTAAGTGTGAACAAAAGCCACGTTTTCACTTAGGCGTACGATAAAACGGAGCACAAGGGAAATCGTGACATTTTCTTGACAGCACAAACTTGTTGAAATCACGTGAATCATAAGTGTTGCTTAATTTTCATGCTGTTGCAGTTTTGGTTCGGAGCTGCCAGATACTTTCAGATTTTTTCAGATCGTAAAGCGTTTGCGGAAAGGATTTTACTGGGCTGTTTCTACTCTGTTTTCCTATTCTTTCTTTCCTACTTGGGTTTTCTTCCCCGTTCCACACTTGTAAGTATGGGTAACTATCTCCGTGGTTTCTTCACTGCTCTTGGATAGATTTTCCTTGTTATACGGCTGAAATTCTGGGTCCCTATCGGACTGGAAATAAAAAGTGACCTTTTTCCTTTTTGGATGTGACTATGGCAAGAAACGATCCGGATGTTCAAGTTAGCAGTTCACTGGGTATCTCCTATCCAGGGTCAGAAACCGAGGGGTCTTTCAGGGTCCATTCCACCCACATGTTTCTTGACAAGGGGTGAGAAGAGACCTGAACAAACGGCAGATGATTTGTTTTTCACTTGAGTCTTGGCCGAAGCGTTTGTACCAACATCGTCGGTTAAGGTTTGTTCCGCAGAGGAGATGATCCTTGCAGTGTGAATGGACGAGGGCTTCTCCAGATGTCGGTTCTTCACGGGGCCTGATTTTCTCACTGCCGTGAGAAGGTCCGTGACGTTCAGGGAGCCGCTTGCTCTAGGTTGTCTCCCGCAAGTAAAATCCCGGTTAAAGTGGGGTTTCTTCAGGCCCATAGTCATTGTTCTCTCAGACCCCTCAATCTCCTAACGTCCCGAGGGCTTGGCTTTTGTCCAGATGATGGTTCTGTCATTGCCTTTAGCCCGGTTCTACCAGCATGTATCACTGGCAGAATAGCTTTGGCTGCCAAAGCCTGCTGACCTTTTGATCTGTCTAAGCTTCGTGAGCGTGAAAAGCCCGTTAGCCGGGCTAGAGTCCAGCAGGGCACCGTTCGCCTGGGGGGCAGAACTTGGCCCCACACCCTTTCATCTTCGAACTTCCAGTGCTCTGTCTGCCAGGGGAATTGCGGCTTAGAGGAACAGTATCCACTCGTTCAGGTCAAGAGTTAGGTCCCGTTTGGGAAATGTTGCAAAGAGTGAGGTCCATGCCCTCTGTGTCCACCAGCTACCTTGTTTCATCCAGGAGAAAGGTCAGTCTCAAAACTGTTGGGACCCAAACAACTCCTAAACTGCAGAGCTTCCAGAGAGCGGAAGAGAGACGTTACTTAACGATGGCGGGCCGGGGTTGGGGGGGGGTGTCACCGCAGCACAGGGCCTGTGTGTCCGGGACGGCAGTGGGGCGGGGCCGTGTGGTGCGGTGAGGCGGAAGCCCCCGCGTAGCAGCACATGGACTCGGGCTCCGGCAGGAGCAGAGCGTCGTCCTAGATGGAAAGCGGGGTGGACACGCTCCAGAAGGGACAGGGCCCGGCAGTGACCAGGGACTGAAGAGGAGTCATTTGACGTGAGAGGGAACCAAGGGGGGAAATGTGACCACTTTTCTCAAATTAGGCAACGAATTCCCAGAGAGCCTTCAATTTCAGGTCTTTGAGCGGGAGCAGGCGCACATCGGTACCTCCTGGTGCCGCCTGGTAAACACCACGCTTGTAGGAAGCCTCAGGCCCCGGCGAGGCCTTCTCCTTATGGAAAAAAACGTGGTTGTGTAAAAGACAAACAAGTTGAGCCTCAGACTTACAACTTGGTGAATGTTCCTATTGTCCAGGCGGGTCGGGGCCCTCGGCCAGTCATCCAAGTCCGAACAGGCCCACCACTGTGCTGGGGATGGAGAGAATCTCGTCCACCCACCAGGGAATGTGCCAGAGAAGACCTCGGCCTGGAGCTCCTCATCCTGCTGCTCAGGCGTCACAGGGTCACATGAGGAACCTTTCTGCTGATTCATAGGCAGCAAAGGGAGGGCCTCTGGCCTTTGGGAAAGGCCGGTGTCTCTTAAACCAGTGCAAATCGGACATGTGGGGCGTAGGTGAGGGGCTCTGGGTCGTGTCTGTGTCCCCATCTTGCTTGCTGCTCATTTCAGAGTGTTTTTGAATAGAAAAATTAAGTGCATTCCTTTGCTCAGACAGGAATTTTTAGAACACTTGTGCTCTTAGGCTGGGATTCATTTACAGTTACCCACCTCATACTTGATTTGCTCTGTGACTTGGGAAATCAGATTTAATTTGATTCTTTAGAGAACCACATATACTCTTGTTGGTAGAAGGAAGGCTTTTCTTCCATGATGCTCATCACAGCCTGTGTCCCCTGGAGGGTGGGCCAGCCCGCAGGCGGCCAGCCCGGGTCCCTGCCTGTGCCCGATTGCCAACGTGCCGTCTGCAGCCACCTGGGTGCTACAGAGCCAGAATTGCGTTGTCTGATGGAGACCATATGGCCTCTGCGATGCCTAAGTATTTACCACCCTGGGCCCTTAGAGGGAAAGCTGGCCGACCCCTTGGCCAGCTCGTTTCTGCAGGTGAAATCGTTATTGCCCAACTTTCATCTGGAAACTGAAGTTACATTAGCAAGGCCAAAAAAAAAAAAAAAAAAGGTGGGGTAAAGAATCAGAAAACCTTTCGGCGTTATAGCACATCCTGGAGCCCGTGTTACTTTGAGGGAGGCTGCGAGACAGAAGAAAATAAGCCCATTACCTGCTTTTAAGATAGAGAACTTTTTTTACTTTTCTTTCTTTTTTTTTAATGATTATTTCTGAGAAAGCGCAAGTGGGGAGGGGCAGAGAGGGGGACAGAGGATCTGAAGCAGGCTCTGCGCTGACAGCAGCAGGCCCGATGCGGGGCTTGAACTCACGAACTGCAAGGTCATGACCTGAGCCAAAGTCGGATGCTCAACCGACTGAGTCGGTTTTAAGTCTGAGGAGGAAGGCCGGGTACCGACACGGCACTGAGTGTTGGTACAGACCCGTCCAGCGGTCAGAGGAGGCAAGAGCTGAGGGACCCGGAGCCCTTCGGCGCGTGCCAGGCGGAAGGTCCGCGCTGGCGGCCGTTCCCAGAGAGCCCGCGGAGTGCGCGTAGGGGCATGCGGTGCAGGTTCTTGATCTTATCCTACAGCAGATAGTCTGTGAGGAGACACGGAAGCCCCGCTTCACAACGGAGCGATCTCAGGTTCAGAGGAGTTAAGTGACTTGCCCAGAGACCACGCACAGGTGAGGGCAGAGCTGTGCTCTGAAGCCGGGCCCGGGTGGCCCAGTGTCCCTGTTCTCTGCCCAGGCCTGGGGGTTGCTCGATGACGGGTGTTGAGAGAGGAGTTAGCATCCTGGCTAAAGCGCAAGAAGGACAGCGTGCAGTAGCCGGGCTGCGGGGGGCGGGGGTGCCTTCAGGAAGCCATCCACGGGGGACCCATGGGGAGATTTGATTTCACCAGACTGCGAACGCCTGGAATGCCAAGGCATTTGGGGATGGATTTTGCTCAGTTGCTGGAGGCCCCCAGAGAAGGAAGTTATACCTACTGATAAAGAGGCTGATGTTTTCTGTTCTGGTTGACCTGCCAGTGTTTTCCTCTAGGCCTCGAGATCTATAAAATGGGTGCATTGTAAGTCACTTACCTTTCTCTGAGAGATCACATTTTTAAATGATGAGAGAACTAAGGAAAAACAGAAGAGATCTACTGACCATATAACCAAGAATGTACCTACAGAGGAAGGTGGAATTCTTACAGCTCATCAAAATTGATGACGGTCACGTTTTTATTTTATTTTATTTTTAATGTATGTTTATCTGAGAGAGAGAGAGAGAGAGAGAGCAAGGGAGGGACAGAGAGAGAGAGAGGGAGACCGAGAATCGCAAGCTGGCTCTACATTGTCAACACGGAGCTCAACTCAAGACTTGAACTCATGAACTGTTGAGATCATGACCTGAGCCAACACCAGGAATCCGATGCTTAACCAACTGAGCCACCCAGGCGCCCCAGTGACCATCTCGTTTTTAAAATCCTAGTCTTCATCTTTGTGATTTGTTTACCTTAAAGGTGAGGCCACAGTTTCTGCTAACGATTTTCTTCTTCTTTCCAAAAGATAGTTGTAAATCCTCTGCCAGAGAATCCCATTTGTTAGAGCAGTGCCGAGCTCCAGGCCCACCTAGCCCCCGAGCCCTTCCTCTGAAGAGAGGAACACAGCCCTTGGCCCTCATCAGCGATCGCCTGCGTAGTCAGCGTGGAGCTCGTCGATCCCAGCGGATGCGAGCTAGGACTGGAGGGTCTCCTTCATGATTTTGGCGTCCGTGAGGTTTTCAGTGGACAGGCAAGAACCAACCTTGGGGCTTCAGCGGGGGGTGCTCGTAGGGGGGGTCCTTTTACAAGGTGTAAATGTCGGCCTTCTGAGGCTTACCTCCCAGGCCTCCCTAGGACGGACTTTCCAGTTCTGGAAACTCCACGGTCAGGGAAGGAAGCACGTGTCCACAGGAGCTTAGCAGTTTCCTGCTTCGGTTTGAAATGAAAACCTGAGGGGCGCCTGGGGGCTCAGTCGGTTAGACGTCCGACTTCGGCTCAGGTCATGATCTCACGGTTGGTGGATTCGAGCCCCGCGTCGGGCTCTGTGCTGACAGCTCGGAGCCTGGAGCCTGTCTTCGGATTCCGTGTCTCCCTCTTTCTGACCCTCCCCTGCTCACGCTGCCTCTCTCTGACTCTCAAAAATAAATAAAAAACATTAAAAAAAATTTTTTTAATAAGAAAAGAAATGAAAACCTGATGCATGTAGTCCTTGGGTGCCTTTCCGGGCTTGAAGGCCTCAGTAACAAAACTGCATTCTGTGAACTACATCTGTGAAATTGGACTCTTCAGTTAGAGGAAAGGAATATTGGTCAGTTCAGCTAAACTGGGCCTGTCACTCCGCTCGCCCTTGGAGGGCTGTCCTGAGCTATGGCCCTGTCCCCAGAGAGAGAGGAAGGGCCTCATGAGGGTGTTTGCCTTTTATTTTTATTTTATCGATTTATGTTTTAAAAGTAGGCTCCATGCTGGGCGTGCAGCCCCCGCTGCTCAGGGCTTGAACTCATAACCCTAAGATCCAGACAGAAGCCAAGGTCAAGAATCAGATGCTTAACCGATTGAGCCACCCAGGTGCCCCTGCACTTGCCTTTTATTTACTTACTTTTATTTAATTTTTTTAATGTTTGTTTATTTTTGAAAGACCAAGCACGAAAGAGGTCGGGGCAGAGAGAGAGGGAGACACAGCATCAGAAGCAGCTCCAGGATCTGAACTGTCAGCACAGAGCCTGACACGGGGCTCGAACTCACGAGCTGTGAGATCATGACCTGAGCCGAAGTCTGACACGCCTGACGGAGCCCCCCAGGCGCCCCTGCACTTGCCTTTTAAGTCCTACAGTTTGGAGCGAGTGCTGGTCTCTCCAAGATGCCCACGACACAGTGAGAGCACGAAGTGCCTGTACCAGTGAAGTAAATAAAAAGTTAGGCGAGAACTTGAGTTCAGCCTGCGCACCCGTCCCTTGGCCCAAGCACGGGCCCCGTAAAAGCCTCTTCAGGACTGCATGACTTTATGCCTTGGCACTGTCTGTGGGAGAGAAAGAATTTGCGAAGCAAGCAGGACAGGCACCGTCTGCCTCGCTGGGCGCCCGCCTGGGAGACATGATGCCGTCGGCGCGGCTCTGCTGGGCCGCCTGGTCTCCCTGGGGCCTGAGCGGCCCCATTTCTACGGCTGGCGGCGTGCGGCCCCTTCGTACACAGGCCGCTAGGCTGCTGCGTGGCCTCCGCTGGTCACCTCCGCGGTCGGGACTCCGCCCCAGCTCTGCGCTGAAGGAGGAGCATGTACTCTGTCTCTTACTTCCTCCCTCCCCCTCCCCCCTCCTTTGTCACCACCCGCCCCCCCGCCCCCTCCCCCTCCCCTCCCTCCCTCTCCCCTCCCCCTCCCCCCACAAGCACACATCACATACAAACGGAAGGAAGGCTAGAACGGGTGTGGAAGGAACGCCATCAGTCTGCAGAAGGGGACCTAGTGACCCACCGTGTCGACAGCACCCGCCAACCGTTAGGAACACAGGTTCGCGGGTCCCATCCCAGAGCCACCGATTCCGAATCTGGGTCTCGGGAGTTGGGGGGGCAGTCTGCATTCGTGGGCCCTCCAGGTGCTTCTGATGGACACCCAAGTCTGCCAGGCTAGCACCTAGTGACCCGCGTAACTTTCAGCTTTCTGGAAGGTGACCGCATGTCACCAGTGACCTGGAAATCCATCCCTAAAGCGTAAAGACTGTAAACTCGCCATTATTCAGTCTCTTTCCATGCTTCTGATCTGAAGCTGATGAAGGCAGTGTTTTCCCACACGCTCCCCGTTATTTCTCTGGAGCGTCACTGGTATTCCCACTAGAAGATTCCATGTCAGATGAGTTTGGGCCACAACTGGCTAAAACCAACGGGAAATAGTTTCCCCTGCAGAAGTCCTCTGAATCTTCAACAGGCTGATGTTTGTTTGGAATCTTCAAGAGGATGATTTTTCCTGAATTTACTGATCACAGGACCCTTCTCTCCAGGAACATCTAGAAACAATGGCGTAGGGAACACATTTAAAGCTATTCACAGCTCATGCTCCCTGACTCATGAGCCTGTTCCCAAAAAAAAAAAAAAAAAAACACAGGAAAAGTGAAACATGCCTGAAATGCCTGGAAAGAAACAATATACTTCAGGGGCGAAAAAAAATGTTGAGTTTTGAGAACCCAAGGCACTAAGGGCATGCTGGGTTTTAAATCACAAAGGTTGAGGACAGAATATTCCACAGTTTAAATGTTTGGACGACTCATGATGTTACTGGCACGTAGACAAGGATAAACACAAGGCCGCGGCAGCTTTTTTTTCTTCTCCCCCAGTGGAAATGCGGTCAGGCAATACTCTGGGCAGGAAACCACCAGACACTTGCATGGAACACAGAGTGATGATGATAGAAACGTTTGAGTGCTTGCAGTGAACTAGATGTTCCTCTAAGTGCTTTGGGATTAAGCGATTTCATCCGGAAAGCAATCCTTGCGGTAGGTAGGGTCTGTTTTGCGGATGCGGAGGCCGTGACTCAGTTTCCCTGGCGCTCGGGGTTGCGGAGGGGTGTTGGCCAACAGAGGCAGTGGGAGATCATGATAAAAGGCAGGAAGCGGGGAGGGTCAGATGATGGGCCACAAGTGCGTCTCTGAGTTTAGAGCACGGAGGTTGCTGAGCAAATCTCGGGACCACCGTGCAGCGGGTTCTGGACGACGTTCCGTGAGGCAGCCTCGTACAAACCAGTTGCAGCTACTGACCCGAGGTTTTGTAACCGTATCCGAGAGCGCAAACGTGTGGGGTTTGGTCACGGTGACGTTGCATTCTTAGGAGGGTTCTTTTGTTTTGTAGGGGGTGTAAACGTCCCTTGCATGGCTGTACTGAAAATGAGGTTAGAGCCTGAGTTGGCGAAGACCGTCGAATGCCAGTTGGCAAGTTAACCCTGGGCTTGGTGCAGAGAATGGAGAAAATGGTCTAAGATGTACTCCTTCCAGGGGCGCCTGGGGGGCTCTGTCGGCTGAGCGTCTGACTTCGGCTCAGGCCATGATCTTGTGGCTCGTGAGTTCAAGCCCCTCGTGGGGATCTGTGCTGACAGCTCAGAGCCTGGAGCTGCTTCGGATTCTGTGTCTCCCTCCCTCTCTGCCCCTCCTCCACTCATTCTCGCTCTCGCTCTCGCTCTCCAATAAATAGGAAAAAAAATTTTTTTAACGTTTTTTTTATTTTTGAGAGACAGAGACAGAGGGTGAGCAGGGTAGGGTCAGAGAGAGAAAGAGAGAGACACAGAATCTGAAACAGGCTCCAGGCTCTGAGCTGTCAGCACAGAACTCGACACGGGGCTTGAACCCATGAACCGTGAGATCATGACCTGAGCGGAAGTCGGTCATTTAACCGACTGAGCCACCCAGGCGGCCCAACGAAAAACTTTTTTTGAGATGTACTCCTGCCCTTGGAGTCTTCAGTCTATTTAGGGAAATAATATATTTCTTTGGTGGGGGGAGGTATTTTCTTCTCTTACTTTTTTTTTTTTTTTTTTTTTTTAAATCCCTTATCTTTTCCCAGAAAGGATTTAAGGCCAGAGATGTGTGTACAGGCCTTTTGTTTTTTAGACCGTGTACAAATACTTCAAGCATCAGGTGTTGGTATAGAACTACGTTGATGCCCTGAGATCTGGGGCTCTCAGGCCGGGTTCAACGGCGCACGCGCTGTGCTAAGTGACGTGAGCCAAGCTCCGTTAGCCAAGAACACCAACGTTACCCTTTCCCATTTGGTTCTGGCTAAGATCCCAACCCTCTCGGGCCAGTGAGGAGCTGGGGCTGACTGGCTCCCAGGTCCCTTCCCTCACTTCTGACGTCTCAGGAGCCTGTCTTCTCCGCACTGGGGCTGGTCCTCACAACGGCACATACCCACACGTCACACTTAGTGGAGAGCCTTTCAACTAGATACGGGGAATTCCTGGGGCTTTTTTCTCCATTGAGTTTTCTCTTCATCAGGTTCCTTGCATTTCATCGCGTTTTCGCCGTTCTGTCTTGTGACCAGGTCGGGTGAGGCGTGTTAGCAGGCGTGCGTGTCATCGGGATGTCACCTGAATTGCTCGTACTGCTGGCATCCGGGGGAAGGGGGGCAGGGCGTCAGTAAGAGGGAGGCAGAGGCGGGCCAGAGCTTACGGGCGGACTGGAGTTGTGATGTGCTTCGCTGGTACCCCGGCCCCGCCACTGCCTCGCCGTAAGACTTGGGGCAAGTCCCCTGTCCCGTCGGGTGATTGTGAGGGTCGGTGACGTGATGCATATAAACCATTTCTGCACCGCCGGCTACCGCGAGTGTCTCCTGGAAAAAACCCACACTGTCGCTGTAAAGCGGAGCGTGCTGAGGTAACGCGGGCTGCAGGAGGCTGCTCTAGCCTCGGCCGGAGGCGCCGGGAAGCGGTCGGTCTGGTCGGCGCCTTCCCACCGTGACGTGACAGGATCCTGAATGCCAGGTCTTGTCGCTGACGCTTCCGGTCTAGGGAGCGCTGCAGCACTGCTCTTTCCCTTCCAGCCTGTGACTGTGACCCCAGGGGCATCGAGACGCCACAGTGTGACCAGTCCACGGGCCGGTGCGTCTGCGTGGAGGGCGTGGAGGGCCCGCGCTGTGACAAGTGCGCGCGCGGGTACTCGGGGGCCTTCCCCGACTGCGCTCCCTGCCACCAGTGCTTTGCTGTGTGGGACGTGATCGTCGCCGAGTTGACCAATCGGACCCAGAAGTTCCTGGAGAGAGCCAAGGCCCTGAAGATCAGCGGGGTGATTGGGCCTTACCGGGAGACCGTGGACTCGGTGGAGAAGAAAGTCCGCGAGATCCGGGACACCCTGGCCCGGAGCCCCGCCGCAGAGCCGCTGAGAAACATCGGGGATCTCTTTGAGGAAGCGGAGTAAGTAGTCCCGGAGCGAGAGCAGGCGCCCAGGGTGGTGGTGCAGCTTGATGAATAAACAGCAGAGGTGCCCCGCTGGGCGCTTCCACGCGACGGGGCGCTCAGTGCTGGGAGGGAGAACAGGTGCCGACGAAGCGTGTTGGACTCCCTGCTCCTCTTTGCAGCTAGCGTGCGAGGGGAGTGGTCTTTCGGGTCGGAGACCCAGGTCCCTAACAGACTTGGGGCCGGGGAAGACCGCCGCAGCAGACGGCTGATCTGTGACACGACAGTGTCCTTGCCAAACACGCGGTGCGTGTGAGTCGTCGCTACTCGGCTTTGCTCCTCCGAGGAGATCGGTTCCCTCCGCGAGACCCCGATTGCCAGGTTCCCTCCGCGGCTTCACTCGAGGAGGCCTTCCTTCGTCTAATTATCACAAATTCTCCACAGTGAGAACGTCTCCTCGTTGCCCTTCTCTGGGTGACGCTCCCCTGCGTAGGGCTGCTGGTGCCGCTGAGCGTCTGTGCGTCTCGGGGCTCGCCTTGCTGCAGGTCTTCTGCTCCCAGGCCCTGCGACCACCCTTTCCGCAGTGCGCCCCAAAACAGCACCGCGCGACCTAGGACGAAGCCTAAAGCAGGAAGGGGTGCGGAGCATTCATGTTCCCCCCGGTGCCCTCATGGCTTTTTTCATCGCAGCCACGTTTGTTTGGCACGGGCAAGAGGGAGCTCTTTCTTTCTTTCTTTTTTTTTTAAATTTTTTAATGTTTATTTTTGAGAGGAGGGGGAGGGGCAGAGAGAGGGGGAGACACCGAATCCGCAGCAGCGCCAGGCTCCGAGCCGTCAGCACAGAGCCCGACGCGGGGCCCGAACCCGCGGACCGTGAGGTCACGACCTGAGCCGGAGTCGGGCGCTGAACCGACCGAGCCCCCAGGCGCCCCAAGCGGAACGCTTCCCTAGCTAAGTCCTACACACGGAGGTGACTAAGTTACGACAGAACCACAGTAACATTTTCTCTGTGATGGGACTTGAATCAGCCTAAGAAACCAGATGCACGTTTCCCTTCTGTGCCCTGAACACCAGGCGAGCAGACGCGTGCTCGGGCGCCTTGCGGGGCCCCTTCCTAGACCCCCTCGATTTCGTCCCGGAGGGTTTGTGTCCACGACCGTGTGGTTGACCAGAGCGCCAGGAAATGTCGGGTGCGGGGCGATAATGCACTTAGTGAGGAGGAATTTCACCTCATTAAAAAGACGGGGGTGCCGCTCAGCCTCCTGCCGCGTAGCAGCAGGTTTGAGAAGGCTGCTGTCCGAGTGCAGGCCCGCTTAGGACCTGGTTCCTGGCCTCAGTCTCCTGCACCCGAGGGAGAACAGAACGATCTGTGTGTCCCGTGAGACCTGCCGGAGGAGACGTTACATTCCTGAAATGCTGTTTCCACCCTCACTATTTATCTAATCGGATGGACTGTAATCATTTGGGGGAACTGGCGTTAATCTTCGGTCGGCACAACACCCGAGGACGCGGGTCTTAGGATCCGAAGTGGCCTCGTTAAAAAACATACAGTGTTAGATTGGATTCCTTTAAAAATTGTAACATTGTGGGAGACCTGGGAAGAAACGAAAGCCTTGTGAGAATCAACACACGAATAAAAGAGCCCCGAGAAAAGCAACTATTAGAATTGCCTCCGGAAAAGGAGGTTGAGTTTATAAAATGCAGTTTAACCTACAAATCCTTTTAAGTACTTTTCCTTTGAGTCGGGTCAGGATTTTGTATCTCAGCCTTGGACAGCATTGTTCTAATGGCCCCCAGCCTTTTGGCCTTCGTACGTCTTCCCTGCGTTTTATACTGACGAGTATCTCCCGGAGAAGACAGTTCCGTTCAGTTAGGTGACCAGTAAAGCCCCGAGCTGAGGTCTCAAACGTTACTTCCTTTGTGATTGTGTACGTACACCCACACACTTATATAATATGCAAATAGATGCCTCAGATACAGCTTTGTGGATGTGAAATACGGAAGAGAATGCAGTTGGGTTTAGATTCCAAGTGAAATATTGTGAAAGCTGAATCTGTGCCAAGTCCGTTCTGGTAGATAACTGCCTTCTTAGGAAAGATGCAAGGGTTGCTTGTCGGTGGAAGAGGAGCTCCTTTGATGGGACCTTGCTAAAGGGGGACGTGCATGGAAAGCTCCCGTGGGTGGCTGTCTGTCTTCCCGGTGGCCGTGGGGCTTCCTTTCTGCATGTCCCATCTTGAAGGGGATCCCTGAGGTTTGGAGAAGAGCCTTTTTGGCAGGTGGCTGGGAGGCATAATTCTGCCCCGGGGGTCAGTTCTGTCTTTGGAGCTGTGGGGTTGTGTGGGCTCCGAGCTGCTCACACACACAGCAAGAACTCCACGCTCTGGACCTTTGCTCAGAAGACAGCGGGTGTTGGGAATCCCTCCTAGGATGCCTCCACCACAACACAGCTGACGGGCGCTTCTAGGCTTTTCTTCCAAGTCTTTGAAGAAAGGAAAATTGGTAGATTCGATACGGCCTCTTAAGGATGAACAGAATAGAACTAGTACTTGTAAGTAAAGAGTTGCAAAGTACTGAACTGGTTAGAAACGACAGAGTAATGGGTACAGTGTTTGTAGGGGAAAAGAAACAAACAATGAGACTTCAGAATTCCCCTTTGGTTTCTTTTGCTTCTGGAAACTGCCCCTTCTCTTTACAGGAAATTGATCAAAGATGTTACCGACAAGATGGCTCAAGTAGAAGTGAAATTGTCTGACACAGCTTCCCAGAGCAACAGCACAGCCAGAGAACTAGATTCTCTACAGACAGAAGCAGAAAGCCTAGACAACACGGTGAAAGAGCTTGCGGAGCAATTGGAATTTATCAAAAACTCAGATATTCGGGGTGAGCATTTTTTGTGCAAATGTGCGATCCTGGACAACGGATTTAACCCTCTGTCTAACCTTTTAGTACAGCACTTGGAGAGTAAAATGTAGTGCCCTCTAATCCTTTTAAAGCTTTTTCTCCTTGAGTCTCTGGCACAAATAAGGATTACAGTCTCCGTTTACAAAAGTGGGACGCGGGGCACTGAGAGACTAAGTAAAATGCAAGGGAGATTCTGTGAAGCAAGCAGGAGTCTTTATGCATGAGAACGGCGTACATTTCCTGTTTTGTTTTGTTTTTTCCAGTTAATGGTTTAACCTCCCTGACTTTTCTTGAAAATTCAAGAATGTTGCCTGCTCAGGGGACAATTTTGGCAGTGTCAGCTAGCACTGAGCATCCTATCTTACGCACGATCGTTAATTTTTCTGCCAAGGTCCTTCAAGCCAAAACTGGCCATGCTGTTTTATATATGTAATAGTAGTCATTTGAGTGGATCTAAATCATCAAATGACCAAGAAAAGATTTTAAAAAATATCCGGACGGGTAATCTGTGGGCTGCCTGACAGTACCAGCTATTGAGAAAGAATTGGACAGTCATGCAGAAACATCTGCGTGACGGACTTAATTTGTCATCCAGATGTTTGGCTTGAAGTGGATGCTCACGGGACAAAGTGAAGCCATTGCTCAGGAGAGGAAAGTCAGAGGTCTTCATAAAGATTCCGATCCTGAATGTTAGAACAGAACCATACAGTAAATTTAGGGCTGGAAGACCCCAAAATACGGGCATCGCCTACTGGCACGGAGCACAGGAGGTTTAACGTGGGCCGTTCCGCTTGATGCCCCAGGCGCCTTGGATAGCATCACCAGGTACTTCCAGATGTCTGTGGAGGCAGAGGAGAGGGTGAACGCCTCCACCACAGACCCCGACAGCGCCGTGGAGCGGTCGACTCTCACTCGGGACCGAGTAGAAGAGCTGCTGTTGGAACGAGAATCCCAGTTCAGGGAAAAACAAGAGGAGCAGGCCCGCCTTCTGGACGAGCTGGCAGGCAAACTGCAAAGTCTAGACCTCTCAACCGTCGCTGAAATGGTAAGGTGTTCTGGTTTGGTTTTTTTTTAATTAGTTACTTAATTTTTTTACGAATAGTTTATTGTCAAGTTGGTTTCCATAGAACACCCAGTGCTCATCCCCACACGTGCCCTCTTCCATGCCCATCCCCCCCCTCCCCTCTCCCCCACCCCCATCAGCCCTCAGTTTGTTCTCAGCATTCAGGAGTCTCTCACGGTTTGCCTCCCTCCCTCTCCCTTACTATTTCCCCCCTTCTTCTCCCCCACGGTCCTCCGTTAAGTTCCTCCTAATCCTCCTATACGTGCAAACACATGGCATCTGTCCTTCTCTGCCTGACTTATTTCGCTCAGCATAACACCCTCAAGGTCCATCCACGTTGCTACACAGGCCAGATTTCATTCTTTCTCATTGCCATGTAGTATTCCATCGTACAGATGAACCACATCTTCCTGATCCATCCGTCCGCTGATGGACACTTAGGCTCTTTCCATGATTTGGCTATTGTGGAGAGTGCTGCTATCAACATTGGGGTCCATGTGCCCCCGTGCATCAGCACCCCTGTGTCCCTTGGGTAAATTCCTAGCAGTGCTAGTGCTGGGTCCTAGGGGAATTCTATTGTTAGTTTCCTGAGGAACCTCCACACTGTTTTCCAGAGGGGCTGCACCAGCTTACATTCCCACCAACAGTGTAGGAGGGTGCCCGTGTCTCCACATCCTCGCCAGCATCTAGAGTTCTCTGATTTGCTCATTTTAGCCACTCTGACTGGTGTGAGGTGGTATCTCAGTGTGGTTTTGATTTGTATTTCCCTGATGAGGAGGGACGCTGAGCATCGTTTCATGTGTCTATTGGCCATCTGGATGTCCTCTTTGGAGAAGTGTCTGTTCCTATCTTCTGCCCTGAAATGGTAAGGTTTTGAGGGTTTGGTCTCCAGGCTCTGATGCGATCATAGGAAGGACAGACCACCTTGTGCTGTCAGTCACACTGTGCATTTTGCACATGAAGGGGCAGGAGTGAGCCTGGCCTCGTCTCCAGGCCACCAGTGGGGATCCACCTTCAAGCCAGATAAGAACAACAGTGGGGGCCTTTCCAGCCTTCTTCCCCCACGGCCGGCTAGCGGTTTCTCTGTGCTGCAAAGAATCCAGTCTCCTTTCCCCCACCGTTAAATTGAAATGGTAACTTCTTACTCAGATTTTAACCTTTCAGACTGTAGACATTTCTTTTTCATGTAGCTCTTTATTTTTTTAAGGTTTATTCATTTTTGAGAGACAGAGTGTGAGTGGGGGAGGGGCAAAGAGTGGGAGACAGAATCTGAAGCAGGTTGTGAGCCATCAGCACAGAGCCCGACACGGGGCTCGAACTCACGAGAACCATGAGATAGTGACCTGAGCCAAGGTCAGACGCTTAACCGACTGAGCCACCCATGTTCCCCCTTTTCCACAGATTTCTGATTCCGAGTACAAACTCCTTCACAGTGGGGCCATTCAAGAATCGTTCTGGGAGGGGCTTCTTTAAAAAAATTAAAAGAGCAAAAGAATTTTTTTCCCTGGGTGTAAATTAAGAATGTTCCTTTGTTCCAGTAACTTTACCTGGTGAAGATTAACCTTGAGACCAGCCTCGAAGGTAGATTCGTTTCCCAGAAGCTTTTAAAAAGTAACTCCAGAGCCAAATGAAATTGAATAGTGAGTTTAATGAAAATCAGGCAGAAGGCCAAAAAAAAGCCAAACTCTGCCTGTTCCTTCCTCTTCCTTCCTTACTGTTTTTCATGGAAGGATACCTATCGGGGGAATTTGGAGCGTAGTTGTCTGTAGACTCGGGCGTGTGCTGTCTTAGCTTGGGAATAGTGAAAGCGGGAGGCAGGTGGGCGCGCAGAAGACGGCAGACAGTTGAGGCTTCCTTACGATTTGGTCTTCCTGTAGGTCCCCCCCCCTCCTGGCCTTCTTTACCTTCCCCCCATCTCGCATCTCTGAAATTGGCAAAAACACCCTGTTACTACTGTGTTGTGCGCCACTTAATCGATGCCTACAAGGTGACAGATGATCAAGCGTCATAGCATTCAGTGGAAAGAGGGAGTGAGGCAGATCTCTCCTATTATTAGAAAAATGGCAGCCCAGAGTGATGTGCAAACTTGACAGGGGACAAAGTCACTATGTATAGGCGTGAAAGGCCAATTGTTTCCTTCCAAGATGGCTTCCTACCTTACAAATTCTCATAATAACCAGTAATCACAAATAAAGTCTCCACAAACTAAAATGAAAGCAGCGGATCGTGTGAACGGAGGTTTGCTTTGCAACAGGTGTCTAGGAAGGGTTGGGGGAGGGGGTGGGGGGAGGGGGGGCTCCCTTGCTCAGGCCATGGGAATGGGTTCTCCTCCGGGTGCCTGCTTTTCCGCTGGCTGAGCTCCCTAGGGCTGAGCCACCTTCTGTTCGCTCACGGCAGGTATTTAATTCTGCGATGAGCTCTCCCTTCGCAGGTTGCGTGCTAGCATTGCTTGGGTAGAGAGGGTTTTGTCCTTTTGTGTTTTCCGAGTACCTTCCGTTCTTGGTTTTTCACGTATGTTTAGCTAGGCCCACGGCGGTTTTCTCCGGCTTGCAGTGCTGAAATAAAACAGATCTCCTAGGCTGTTGCCAGATTGCTGTTTCAAAGCATCCCTGAGGCCCTCTGCTTCTCTTCTTGATTTCGGCCCATGGTCTTCTACGGCAATGCAGAACGCACTTTGTTTTCTGAAGCTTTTTATGTTCCATAAGTCAGCTACATGAAAGACTTTTTTTTTTTTTTTTTTTTTTTAAGTTTTTTACTTTTGAGAGAGAGAGACAGGAGAGTGTGCATGAGCAGTGGAGAGGCAGGCACAGAGAGGGAAACACAGAGTCTGAAGCAGCTCCAGGCTGTCAGCACAGAGCCCAGACGCGGGGCCTGAACCCACGGACCATGAGATCATGTCCTGAGCCGAAGTTGGACATGTAACCAACTGAACCACCCAGGTGCCCCCAAGACTATTATTATTTACTAATTTGATCTAATGAGATCATAATTATCAGAAAATTATTAGTATAAGGAGTTGACTGTTTATTCAAAAAGTACTTTTTTACTTCTTAAAAAGAATCCCTTCCTTGTTTGCGAGCATTACCTGCTTCTCGCTGCCTCTGTTCAACATGAGAGGACAGCCCTGCTCAGCCTTTCCCATCACACAGCAGACTCGTAGTCTCTCAGTCCACATGTGCGTGCCGGGGCCAGGCCCTGATCCTGGAACGTTCTGGTAGGTAAGGGAGAGGAGGAGTCTGGGGAGGGGCATTGAGGATTCGCTTTGTAGAAGTGAAATCCCCTTTGACCCTACTGCTCTGTTTGCCTCTCGCGTCTGGAACGGCCCCCCACTTGCCCTGCTCCAGCCCCACTGGACAGCAAGCGCGCCCTCCCCCGGCCTCTCCGCGGCCTGCTTTCCTTCCTGCTTACAGCACCCCACCCACTCGTGTTTGCTTCGCCTGAAGGCACGAAAAGCCCAGATAATGGGCCTCGTATGTCACCTTGTTGACCAGAACAGACCAGGTGCCGGGTCTAAACCGGTTTCTCAATACCTTCTCCGTTTTTTTTTTTTTGTTTTTTTTTTTTTTTTTTTTTTTTTGCTTTTGTTTCCCTTGCTTTCAGAGACACGTCTAGTAAGAAGTTGCTCTGGTCAAGGTCAGAGAGATTGCTGTCTGCGTTCCCTAGGATTTTGATGGTTTCCTGTCTCATCAGGTCTTCCATCCATATTGAATTTACTTTGGTGTATGGCGGAAGAAACTGCATGTCACTGTCCAGTTTTCCCAGCACCATTTGTTGAAGAGACTTTTTTGCACTGGTGATGCTTTCCTGCTTTGTCGAAGATTAGTTGACCATACAATTGTGGGCTATAATTTTATTTTTAAGTTAAGTTTGAGTGCAATCTCCCTAAAAGTTGGAAAACTGGTGACAAAAATGATGCGAAAGAAGAATTTACATTTCAAAACTAATCCAAAGAACAAGTCCTTTGCATTCCCCACCTTCACCAACTGCACCACCTCCACCAGCCACATGTGGAGGCTTCCTTTCCACTTTTGGCAAGTACAACACACTATCACATGACACTTTAGTTTCCAACTGTGTCCACGTGTTTACTATTTATGTAAGGACGTCTTCATTGTTCAATTCATGTAGTTTATACTTGTGAGGATGATTTGGGAATCAAGACCCCACGTTATTCATCCCAAGGCTACATATTAGTTCTCTGTTGCCGATAACAGATCACATCTAAATTCACTGGCTTAAAACACAACCAACTTTCATTATGGCTCACAGTTTCCAGGATAAAGGATTCAGGAACAGCTTGGCTGGGCAGTTCTGCTGAAGATTTCTCATGAGGTTCGGGCAAATGCTGGGGCTGTAGCTGTCCTCAGGCTTGGCTGGGGCTAGAGGCTCTGACTCCAAGAGGGCGCACCCCCATGGCCACCGAGTGGACCCTTCACAGAGCTGCTTATTTGCATCTACTCACAACATGGTGGCTGGTTTCCCCCAGAGCAGAGAGCGCGGCAGGGGGAAGCTATCTTTAGTGAACTAGCCTCAGAAGTCACATTGCACTGCTTTCTCCAAATTCTATTTGTTAGGAGCAAATAAGTTTGGGAGAAGAAGAGGAGAATTTGGCTCCACCTTAGGAAGTGAGGCGCTTTACAGTATCTTCATATGTTAAAACCACCACGTCCACTGACTGTAAGCCCTCACAAAGGCTCTGCACTTCTACCGTTCTATTAGTCACTATGTACAGGAATTTGGTTGTTATTCCCAACAGCGCTGTCACGATACAACAGAGAGAGAGAATGTTTATGTTTATGGGCATATGTGTGAGAGAGCTGGCTGAGAGTGCAATCAATAGAGGTTTTAACTATAAATGCTGCTTTTATCCTCAATGCCTAACATACATTCCTTGGAATCAGTTATCAGAAAAGACTAGAGGATTTTGCCAGCAATTAAATATCTACTGGCTAAAGGGTCACTTCAGATGTCAGCTCTAATCCTGGCCTGCTGATTTTTTTTTTATTTTTTTTTAAGGTTTTTATTTATTTCTAGGAGAGAGAGAGAGACAGCGTGAGCAGGGGAGGGTCAGAGAGAGAGGGAGTCACAGACTGAAACAGGCTGGCAGTCAGCACAGAGCCCGACGCGGGGCCTGAACCCACGAACTGCGAGATCATGACCCAAGCGAAAGTCGGACGCTTAACCGACTAAGCCACCCAGGCGCCCCTGGCCTGCTGATTTTTAAAAAAAAATTTTTTTGATGTCTTTATTTTATTTTTTGAGAGAGAGAGACAGACAGAATGTGAGCGAGGGAGGGGCAGAGAGAGAGGGAGACACAATCTGAAGGAGTGGCCTGCTGATTTTAATACTCAACTAAACAACTGCATCTTTGGTTACAAAGACAACGATACTGTTACTTGGGAAAAGAAAATTCCCTAAGCTTTCAAGCTTTCATGCCATGAGATGGCATGCCACGAGCCCAACGGCCGGTCTCACTCGCCCCTTTCTGTGCTAGTTTGCATGGAAAACCCAGGGGGCCTTCTGGTGGGTCTTGCCACCCATCCCTGGCCTCTTCAGGAGAGCCTGGGGGACCACAGTGCCCCGGCCAGAGTCACACTCTGACTTGTATGGCCTGCCACCACTTCACCCTCGGCATGTCTAAAACCAAACTCCTCCCTTCCTTCCACCCCGGCTTCCTCCCTAAACTTCTTACTTCCATTAATGGCTATAGCATTTCCCCAGAAACCTCAGCCTCATCATCAACTTGAACCTACGTTGCTCAAAACAGAAGCTGTTGCTCAGTGTCTCTCTCGTATCTGCGCTTGCCTCTCCACCCCAGAGCTGACACCTCCCCACTTTCACATTTCTGTTCAGATTATTCCCTCTGGCTACAAAGCCCTTCCACCAGCTTCCTACCCTTTACCTATCCTTTAAGACCTCGTGGCCGGGGCGCCTGGGTGGCTTAGTCGGTTAAGCATCCGACTTTCGCTTAGGTCATGATCTCGCAGTTTGTGGGTTCGAGCCCCGCGTCGGGCTCTGTGCTGACTGCCCGCTCAGAGCCTGGAGCCTATTTCTGAGTCTGTGTCTCCCTCTCTCTCTGACCCTCCCCTGCTCACGTGGTCTCTCTCTCTCCTAGAAAAAAAAAAAAAA